ATATATATATATATATATATATATATATATATATATATATAAGTATTTACAAACACTCATAATAAATATAAAATAAAATACAAATATCGATTTTTCTTTAATTTATAATTAATATGTAAAAGAATATATTAAATATAGACTTAATGCCTATTTTGTTCTATATTTTTGTCACTTTTATTTAAAGTGGTTTTAAGTTTTTTTTTTTATGTTTAAATTGCTTTTCTTTTTAAATTTGTTCAATTTTGATCTTTTTTGCTGATGACATAGATTTTATCTAAGAAATAGAATAAGTTGTCACGAAGTAGAGCTTAAAGTGGCTGACTCACATCATCATCTCATCACCATCTTCTTCAAATCAGAAAGTCCGATGATGGGTTGTGGTTGATTCTGATTTCTGAAGGTTTTTGTGATTTAATGGAAAACTATTTAGGAGTTTTACTCCTTGCAGATGGTTTCGTGTCGTCAATGGAGGTTAAACGAGTTCAATGATAGTGCAATTTGAGATTTTGTAGGTTTCCAACTAAAAGCATATGTATGGTAGTTTCTCAAACTTTAAAAATGTTAAATCAATACAAAAAAATTCATTTATAATATATAAGTGGGTGCAAACCTCACCTTACAAGCTAGTTTTGTGGGGTTGAGTTAGACTTAAAGTCCACTTCTTAACATGCTATCAAAACCACCTTAGAGCTTATCCTATATACCTCAGCGTGAGGAAGATGTGTTAGAAGTCTCACATTAATTAGAGATAAAATCAATTTATAATATATAAGTGGATGCAAACCTCATCTTATAAGTCGATTTTGTGGGGTTGAGTTAGATTTAAAATATACTTTTTAACAAAATCAATGTATTTTTAAGTGCAAGATGATATGGTACAACCTATTTTTAATGGACCAAAATCATATTAGATTTAAACGAACAAGATCAACCTGTTTTACAATTTTTTTAATGTAAAAACACAATCAAGCCTTATTTAAAAACAAGTTTAATGAGTATCTAACAAAATAAATGGTCTTGTAAAAAATTATGATAAACACTGTACTTGATTGAAGGAATTTTGAAAGTAACTCCAAAACGAGAGTAATGAAATCGTCAGTGTTTCATTGAAACAAACATTTGAGAAAATATAAACAAATCACATGGACTTACTGTTGTTGAAGACCGACAAGACAAGGCTACTTTATTCAAAAGTTGAATTTAGAGTGCTATTGGTATTCTTTTTTAGTGAATTTGGTGTAACGAGGATTAGTGTTGTGCACGCTCTAGCCTTAAGAAAGGCTTTTAATTTTTTTCAACACATTGGAACAGTAGATAGAATTGGATGAAGAGATTCAAACTTTCAATGGCGTAATCTTTGGTGCAATGACGTTTGATATAATTAATTAGTATGGTGACACTATAGCAACTTTTTAGCTCAAGTATAGCTACGTATTTTCGTGTGGGAATATTTGAGTTCAAGTTCGGCAAGCAAATTTTCAAACGCACGCTAAGTATGAGTTGATTCTGAACTAGTTGACCGATAAACAGGTTGTCATATTCCCTAACAATTATATACAAACTAATATCAATTCATCTCTAACTTTTTTTTTAAATTAAATGACCCATATTTTCTAATTCTTTATTAGGAAATTAATAATTTCAAATTGTAATGAAATATATTAACGTGTATAACAAATAAATTGAGAAGGTAATTAAAATTACCAATGCAGGACATTCAAATCAATCAGTGGCATATATATGTGTGTATTAGGTGGATTTCTTGATTTTGTTTAAATTATTACTAAGTATTTAAAAAAAAAAAAACTATTCCCTTGATTTTATATATTTAAATTGGCTGAGCTATTCTCTGATAGATCTATGTATAGTCGAGAATGAATAAATACATCACTTAACTTGTATATAGTGATTTAAGATTTTAGATCATCACACAAATCAACTATTTTGTTAAGATACACGATCATTTCTCTTCTCTTACACTCACAAACAAATTATTTAATTTATTATACTCAAATATTTTTTAAAGACGTTAAATTTTATTAATATAATAAAGAGAGGTTACATTATAATTAGATTCAATTCATTTTCTTATGTAAATTAAAAAAAAAATGATATTCTATCATTCCATGAGATTTACTTCTCTTTTTTTTTACGTCTTTCATTGTACCTTTTAACATTATTAATGAAAGCTAACTTATGTGCTTATAAATCTTACATCGTCATGAAGATTTTCATTTATAATTATTGAAACAATATCATATTATTTAAGATTTAATTAGTAACTTTGTATTGTGCAAAATAAGTTATTAAAAGAACCATACATAAAAAACCTTCATGAATAAACTGATCTAAATGACAATGCACATCTTAACATGTTCACACATTGCACGTGTGCGAATTTAAATTAGTTAAATAATTTTTTTATTACTGAACTTTAACTGATTTAATCATGCACGCAAATCTTCGGAAATTATTAGATAATTTTGGGTTATTATTTGTTTCAATTACTAATGTTTACACGACAATATCTCCTCTACACATATTTTTTTTTATCAAAGATATATATATATATATGTAACTTGATAAGACTCTTTAATTTTTTGATTAAATTATACTATTGGGTCAACCTGCCTTACTAAAAATTTGAATAAATTGAAGTGAGATTCAACTAAATGATTTTCATAAGATTCCAAGTTGGACAAAGGCAACAATAAAATTAAATTATCATATCCCGTTTCCTCAAACATTCGCACACGTAAATTTGGAGACTCTGCGTTCTGTCACCTCACAAAAACTAATCTATCCAGACATTTAGACATGAATTTAACTAGTTTAAATTAAATTATATTTAATAAATCGAAACTGATTTAAAATAAAAGAAATAAATTTAATTAACTGGTTTAAATAACAGTGTTATTAGTAAATAAATTGTGACAAATTCAATAAATTAGCAATCTTAGAAACAATGATAAGAGATTTCATGAGAGAAAGGAAACTGTAATTGCAGGAATATTGATGAACAATGGAAATTAATTATTAACTCGAATCCAAGCAAGGTTTTGTGAAGGGAAAATTAATCATCCTAATTAAACACAGCGTAAACACCCAAGAACAGTGCGAAGGAGAACCCACTGAATGTAGCTCTGCATGTGCCTCCTTCATCACCTCCCACCGTTGCTGCAACATAAAAATGCAGTATTACAATAATGAAAAATGTATGTTTTACGTAATTATAATGAAAAAATACAATAATGAATAAAAGAAAATAAATAGATCATGAAAAAGAGAGAATTCTTACCCGAAGGCGGCAGCAACGACGGAGGCGGAGCTGAAGAGAAAGATCATGAAATGTTGATGAAGAAAAATAAAATAAAATTTCATATATTGTATAATATCAATTCATTGACAGCAAAGTACTATATTCAGAAATGAAAAGTAGTTGTGAAGAAGAAAAAGATTAACAGAAAGTTGTTAAACAAGATCATAAGCATGTTCAACTGGTGATGAGGTTTGAACGTGAAACAGAGAAAGGTTTGGAAGCTAAGAGGAAATTAGAATGCAGTAATAAGGGATTGTAACCTTTGCAGGAGGTGATTTTGAAGTTGACGCCGCAAGATTGAGCAAGTTGAAGAGCCTGAGGGATAGTGATACCCAAAGCTTCAAGTGCTCCAGGAGGAGTTAATGCAAGTTCGCAGAAACATGAATTCTGGGCTGCGTTCATTTCTTTGATTGGATTGCAGCAAGTTTGGGGTGGGTCAGTGGAGTTCAAAAAATTAATGCATGGAGATAGCGGCGTGAGGCATGGTGGTAGATCTAGTCCATTACAAAACCCAATCGCACTGATACTCAACACCAAAACCAACATCCAAACCTTCATCATCTTCTTCTTCTTCTTTCTGCTTTTGCTTTCGCCCTTCTCTTCTACTTTCGTAAATACTTCCAAATCTATGATTGCCTCGCTGGACTCCACATGTTACAAGATGAGATCCCACGTCCTCGCTTAATTAAAGACAAAAAAGAAAGAAGGAGCTGATGGCATGATAAGATTCCAAACGTTTTGAACTTAATATTTCGCTGGAAACAAAAATAAAAAATTATTCTCTCCTTGATTCCTGGCAACCCATCATATCCATACCGATTAGACTAAAAAATGGCATTTGACCTTTCATCATCTTAAAGCTCTCCAAAATTACTGTACTGCGTTCATTAATCTCTCTCTGTAGATATTGAATCAATTTCAACGAGTATATCCTCTACAGGGCCATGTGTAATTTATTCTTTTGGCTCACTCAACAATCGTTCCAAAATATTATTCTTCACGATTTCCAAACAGACGAGTAAAAAATAACAAAGGAGCTAATTGGCGGGATGTTACACAATGTTCCGAGAAAAGTGGGGTTACGATTTGTGGAACACAGGAACATAACTTTGAATTTTAATTTTAATATAAAAGTTAAAAGAGAGAAAAAATAATAGTTATGCAACTATTAAACGTATAAACCTTATCCTTTTTTAGCTTTCTCATAAAATTGTCTGTAATTTAAAAGCTTTCAGAACGATCCAACTTAAATCGATTCAAATTAATACATTCTTATATAAATTAGGTGATGAATTTAGTATAAATGAAATGAGATTTAATTTCAGAATCGTTTTTATAGTTTATAGTTGTGTTATAAAATTGTGTTACGTCTTAGATTAGTTTGAATAAACTTATTATGCCTTTAATTATTAAATTACTTAAAATATTAAATTAATTTGTGTATTATTTTTTTAATTAGATTGATTTATGATTTTGTAATTTTTTTTTCAAAATATTGACCTCATAAAATCAATTCAATCTCACTCACTCTATGTTGAGTAAACATTATTGGATACACCTAAATATTTTACACTCATTTAACATTACCTTTACTTACTTTTTATTCTCTTTTTCTTAAAACAATATAAAAGTTTACACATTTTTTTATCATTTTACCCTTGTAACCTGTGTCAACTTAAAAGTGTGTCATGGTAACATTATCCTTCTATATTATACTGAATTTAATATAAAAAGATATAAAAATTCAACTCGATCCAATTTCATAATTTTCTAAATTAGATAATGAATTTGTTTAAATTCTACCCAAATCCAATTGGTAAACTCCCTGTTTATAAGCATCCATTTTATATATATATTCCAAATTTTATTTGATAAAAAGTTTTCTATTCATAAAAAAACATACTTTAAATATATGAATATTTTAATAATTTTTAATTTTAATTAAAAAAAATTAAATTTTTTTTTATTTAAATACTTTTAACCTTAAAATTTAGAATATTTTAATGAGATAAAATTTACTACTTACGTTAAGTTAGCCAACCTTTTATATATATATATATATATATATATATATATATTTTTTTTTTTTTTTTTTTTTTTATAGCGGTCACTAAAGGGACATTGATTGTGAGCCGCATATCACTGTGATGGAGTCCATGAACAAAAAGTGCTACATTCAGCAAAAGAATTTGTGGGTGCCCAATTGGCCCAGTCCATCCCGGAAAACCCAACAGAAAAGCTTGTGAAAAAAAAAAGGAAAGGAGGAATGGACAAAAAAGGAAACAAAGGGAGAGTGGAACAGATTGAATTACAGAGCTATCCGGATTTCCGAAGTTGTAAAGGATAACGCAAATTTGATTTGGAAGGGGAAGGAAGTTGCAGTTGCAAGGTGGAGACTTTATTGAGTGAGAGAGAGGTGTAGGTTCAATCTGAATGGCCACACTTAGCTTTGGCTTTGCTACCACAAGTGTGAGTGCCGCCGCTGGTTATCGCAGGAGAAGCAACTGCAGGTGGCGCAGACCCACAATTTTGTCCGTTGGATGGGTAACTAAACCAAACCAAACCATTTCTCTTATGTCTTATGGTCTTGTCTTGCAACTTGTGTTTGAAAATTTGTTGTGCGAAGGAAGGACCCCGAAGGCGTGCTTGGCCCACCCCAAACCGGCCACCTCGCCAGGCTCGAGTTTCGAAGACGCCTCGAGAGAGACTCAGAAGCACGCGAGGCCTTCCAACGTCAAGTGGAAGAAGAGAAAGAACGCCGTCAAACCCTTCGACAAGTATTTCTCTTTCGTCTTTCTTTTTTCTTATTCTCTATTTCTTGCATTATTCATTCTTTTCTTTTTTTTTCATTTGCCAGTCACGTATTCTTCCCGATACCCCAGAAGAGCTCATTGAATACTTCCTTGACACTGAAGCTCAGGAGATTGAGTTTGAGATTGCAAGAATGAGAACGCGGTTCGTACTTTTTTTTAATTCTTTGTTTTCTTTTAATTTAACTCTGTCACTTTCTTATGACCAATTTGTATTGACTCTGCAGATTGGATGAAGGATTCTTTGCTCAACTGAAATTCGAGTTAGGACAGCTTCGGTTCGCTGTTAACAAAACTGAGGTACCTTTTGGCTTCTTAAAAATGTTTGAGCTGGGCAAAACATTCTCGGATCTACTCATTTTACACCGATTGTTCTGCAGCACATGGAGGAAAGACAGATTGAACTAGAGGCTCTAGAGAAAGCCATACAAGAAGGAATAGGTTTGTAAATAATAAAAAAGAAGATAGTTTAGGAATTTGCCAAATATGTAAGTTCACTCCTTGCTCCTATCTTGTAATACAGAAGCCTACGATAAGATGCAAGGTGAACTCATAAAAGCCAGGACAAGCCTAACCAAAATCTTGACATCAAAGGATGTTAAGGCAACTGTAAGTCTTGTTCGTTTCCCTTTTAAGTGTGCTGGTTTTATTTGAGTCATGCTCAATCTAATTTGTCTTCAATGCAGTTGCTGGATATGGTTGAAAAGAATGAGATTAATAGATCTTTGTTGGCACTTCTAGATGAAAACATAGCAAATGCACACAAGGGTAACCAGGTAGGCGATAGAAACACTCGGTTGTATTGTAACCAATATGGCAGAACCCTCTTGGAACATTTTGATGCCACAGGAATAGAAAAATAAGATTAAAAGCTCTCAAACGGTAGTTGTCTATTAATGGACTTAGGATTGTGGGAACATGATTTTTTTTATTGATAATGAACTATACAATCAAACCTGTGGTGCATATTGAGATGTGCTTGTAATGAAAAGTTTTGCTTGTTAATTTCCTTGTTGCAGAAAAAGGCTGCAGAATACATGGAGAAGCTTCGGGGGTCTGTTATTAGGTACATGACAGTTTAGTGCATATAGTACTTTTCTTCCCACTTTTCTATTAATTTTTGTGAAAATTGTACTGTTGATAAATGTATCAAATAAAAAGATACCAGACAACTGAGATGTTGCGGTAGCAACTGTAATATCTGAACTAAGAAATTGTAAATTTTGAAATACGGCCCCTGTATCATTCACTGAAATTTTGATGATGATTGATTTTAGAACCAGAATATAAGCTTCCTATCTTGAACCATGTAGCTTGAAGGATGGATGAGCCAATTGTACTTGGTGTCAATAAAATGGGTTTAGATGGGCAACTTACAGTTAGTTACTATATGAAATTGTATCATTAATGTTTGGGGTACAATTTAGTCGGTAATGTTAAATTTAGTTTCTTTAATTTCCGGAATTTATCTAAACTACCCATTGAATGCGACTTCAGAATAAACTCTCAGTGTGAGTAAGATGAGATGAAAATGCTGATGAAAACGCAAGCATACAATGTTGCAATGTAATCTTATTTTCCAACTACATTATCACACTGGTATCTCAATAAAGCATATTTGTCTTGTAATTTTAATTTTAATTTTCTTAATAAGATATAACTTTGAAAATATAAATTAAAATCGGTTAGATTTAATTATTAATTTGATTTTTATATTTAAGTTTTCTATTGGTTTACGCATGAATTTAACAAGATATTTAATTAGTAATTTGATTTTTATACATTTTTTTTACTTCAATTAAGTCTATATATTTTTTCATATAAATAATGTGATTCTTTTGTGTGGGTATTGTTCTTAACTGATTCTGGGAATAAATCTAAAAGTCATGATTGAGGTTATGTATCTATTTCTAACGAGGTAATAAACAAAAATAATGAAATGAACAATATTTTTTTATTTAAAAATTATTGAAATTTAATTGAATAAAGAAAATATAAAGATTATACTTATTCAAATGTCTAAATATAAAAATTAGATTATTAATTAAATATTTTATTACATTAACACATGGTAAAAATAAATGTAACATAAGGTATTACTTGAATTCTATTTAATAAAAATTAAGTTAAATTGAGTTAAAAATATATAAAAACTAAAATAAATAGAAGATAACATAAACGTGAAATTACTAATTAAAACAAACTATTATAAGTAAATCACTCCTTTATAAACCTATTATGAGTGAATAGGTGCATTATGATAAGATTTACATTCTTTAAAAAAATATAAAAATTTGTTTATGCATTTGAATTTTTATTTAAGAAACTAACTTATGAAATGTAATGTACATACTATCAATCAATAATGATATGACTTCTATAAAGTTATTAAATCCATCATCCATTTGTGATTGGCTAATTATTTTAAATAATAAAATTTTATCAGTTGCAAAATCGTATTAAAAATGTAAAATTGATAAAAAAGAAAAGTACATTTAACATCAACCCATCTTGTCATCTGGTAAAGAGTATTCCTTAGTGGTCTAAATAATTTGTGTACAAACTGACGTGGAATCCAATGTGGCTTTATTTCATTGGATAATAAAAAAGTTAAAAAAGAAAAAAAACTACACAAATCGATGAAAAACAACTTGACACTTACGGGTTATGTATACTTTTTTGATCAAACTTGGCATAACTAAATGCAACTAATCCTAAATCCTTATTAGCTGAACTTAAATTTGAAAATAAAAAATAGAATCTTTGATTGTGTTGCGACTAGAGCTTTTGAAAATTTTCGAATCCGTAAAGAGACAACATTTTCCTAATATTTTTTAAAAGAAAAAAATGTTAACATTATTAACGGCTCAAACGGACGCAAATGGGATTGGTTAATTATTTATTTTTATCACATTTTGTTTTCTCTCTAATATGAATTACTTACATTTATGGTATTGCATCATGTAAATTTTTTGTATGGGTTAAATATATTTTTATTGCTTGAAGTTGGATATAGAATTTTAATTTTTTGATATATTTTAATTTTTAAATTTTAAAAATAGTAGATATAATATTTTAATTTAATTAGGTTAATTTTTTAATGTGTCAAAAATATTATTTAATTAATATTAAAGTAAATATATGTAAAAAAAATTAATGAATTAAAAGAATTATATTTATTTATTTTTAAAATTTGTAGACTAAAATACATTAAATTGTAAATTAAACTTTGCAGAAATTCAAAAATTAAAAATACAATTAACTCTTTTTATTCATAAAGGATATAGGTATGGAGAAATTTACAATACTAAACTAACAGAAATGAATCTATGTTTAACTTTGCAATAGCAATTATATATGTGACAAATTTTAGCACTATTCAGAATGTGCATTTTATTTTTCTATTACATTTATTTTTGCCACGTCTATTTCTTCTTTTCTTTTCCTTTCTAACTCTTTTTTTTTTTTCATTTATTTGAAGTGCTCCACGTCCCTGTACTACTATTACGCGCCACATAATTTCGTGAGACATAAAGAAAAAGAAAAGATGTTGGAGTTGCTAGCCTCTATATAGAAAGAAGTTGGGTAAGTAACACCACAATTCACCAATATCAGACAAAATCTACATCGTTGTATGTTAGTTAGACATGGCAACCACAGTGAGGCTTGTTTCACTGCTTCTCATGAACCTTGTAATTTACATGAGCAGCACCGCACAATGTTCCATAACCAAACACGCAGACCCTAACCCTGCAGAGTTCGTGAAGTTGTCGTGCAGGGCAACACGGTACCCTGTTTTATGTGTCCACTCGCTGTTGGCCTACGCAGGCGTCATTCACCGAAGCGACCGGCAACTTGCGATGACGGCTTTGTCGGTGAGTATATCAAGGACCCGAAAATTCCTGAAGAAGATGTCGAAAGCGAGAGGCATGAAGGGTAGGGAGTGGAGAGCTGTGCAAGATTGTGTGGAGACCATTGGTAACAGCGTGGAGCGTCTCAAGCAATCGGTTAGGGAGTTGGGGCGAACGGGGTTGGGGAAAGACTTTGCATGGCACATGAGCAACGTCCAGACATGGGTTAGCGCTGCCTTAACCGACGACAACACTTGTCTCGACGGCTTTGCCGGTTCCGCCATGAACGGAAACGTGAAGAGCGATATAACGGAGAGGGTTGTCCACGTTGCTCAAGTCACTAGCAACGCTCTCGCCTTGGTTAATCGCTTTGCTTCCACCCACGCTACTCACTCTCCTTAATTTGCTCTTTCTCAAATCCTTTTCCAGCTATTTCATAAGTTTCTTGTCTTTCTCTTCTCTCTTCCAACGTGACACTCTTCTCCTAGGTCTATATATTTGGTCTTAGGTTGTTTCCCTGTAATGCATGTGGTTAAAAAAAGGGTAACGAGTGTGTTTTAATTACGTTTTTCATTGCAAGTTAACAGTGTGTGTATGGTGCATATAAGAAGTTCCTATTGAAGAACTGAACCTGTTTTGGCTTAGAAAAATCTGGTGATGATGAAGAAACAGGAAGAGTTCCAGTGCAAATTTTGTTATTGTTCATTATTCCTTTTTGCAACAAGGTTTCTTCTTTCGTTTTTCCATTTTTCTTTTCATCTTTAAGCAGACATTCTTAACTTTCTTTCTTCGCAGACTTGAGTTAGAAGTTCTTCGCTACAACTTTTTCCATGCTCAATCTTAACATATTACCACACTTTTTCTATTTTTAAGTCCAAAACTAAATATTAATCCTTTAATTTTATATATATATATATATATATATATATATATATATATATATGTATATGTATATTATTCATACAATTTAGAAAAGTTTTGTAAATTACAAAAATGAAATAGTTAACTTAAAATTTATAAAATAAATAATTATAAGCCCTTACGATTTTTTAATTGACACATTTAAATGACAAATTTACTTACTCTATGCCATACATTAATACAAGTATCACATTACAAGAGGCTGTTATTCCGTGTCCACTTTTATATTTGTTATCATGATTTGTGGTTAGTGGTTCTCCATTATAGGTGAAAGTTGCATCGTCATCAAAAAGCCAAATACTTCGATTTAAGTGCCTTGGTGATTATGGGGTTAGTTAGTTACAGAATGGTTTTTTAATTTTATTTGATTAGTCACTCTTTGTTCTAGGAAAATAATACCAACAAAAATTCAAACTGTGAAAGCGAAAGAAAAGAATAACTTTGGAATTCAATTTGCAAAAGATAAAGTTGCATGAAGTGGATATGCATGAAATACTCCAAGTTGATTAATTATGTTCAAATCCCAAACTTAAACTAGAAATCAGTGAGCTCAAATAAGGTCCAGACGAATGGTAGCTAATTGAGATTATGCTTGCGATTTTTTTCGTATTTTTTGTTTTGAAAGGAAAAAAGATAAGAAGAACGCACATAAATAAAAGATTTTAACTTTAAGATGCCAATAATTCATTTTTTTACTGCTAATTAGTAAAAAATAACGTCATTTAAAAAAACTCATAAAATTACAGAATTTTAAATATATGATAACCAGAAAGTGTATTTTAATTAAATCATAAAATAAAATAGTTAAAAAAAACTAGACCTAGGATAACACGTATTCATTTGAGTTTTGATAGAGGCAACATGCTTTGGCAAAGCAACCAACCCTTTTCTTTTGGGGTGGACATCGTTTTAGTGACTGTTGATTCGAAATTGTTTAATTTGATATAATATAAATTGAAAAGGATATTTCAAACTTTTAGTGATCTTACGTTATAAATGATACCATATCATCACAATGCTATTTGGTTGGGAAATTCCTTTATTAAAGGAATACCTGTCGACTGCAACTATTCTTTTTCGTGGAAAAATAAATGCCACCTTTAAAAGTGTGTGAAGAAGGATTTAAAAGTAAAAATATCTAATGAAACTATTTTTATTCTTTCATAAATCTTATAACACAATTTCTAGCTAATTAAACTCTATATAAAATTGCATTGCATAATAAGAATAGCTAGGAAAGAATGATAAAAAAAAAAAGGAGAACCATGGATTTGTTAAGAAATAGTATTTGGAAGAGTGGATAAGTAAAAGAAAATAAAAATAAAAAATACAATGAAAATTAAACAGAAATATGACATAATATTGAATGGTTCAAAATAAGACAGAAATAATGAGTTTTTCTTTTTTATTATCTTATGTGAGTCTTACGACCGATTATAGTTTTTCTTTTCTTTTCTTTTCTTTAGCAAGATAAATAATTAAAATGCTGATACTAATATCAATAAATGGTAATAAAAATACTTATTTCTTTTTCAGTTTCTTCCTTTTTGTTTTTTATCTATCAAACAGAACATAAAGGTTTCTCACTTAAATACTATATATTTAATTAATATAAAATATAAATTTTCTAATGTATTAATATGGGTTAAGTAGGTGGTAGAAAGAATTTTTATATGATTTTTGTCTAACGACAAAAGTTCAATCAACAATTTTGGTTTGAAAATTTTCATAGAGAATAAGAGAGAAAATTTGTAAAAATAAAAAATTTATATAGTTTAAATTATTTATTTTAAATAATTATATATAATAAATATTTCTGTAAATAATTATCCAGAGAATTAATAATATACAAAACTAATTTTCTATAAAGAACATCATTTCCTATTTTTTATCCATATTTTTATCATCATAATTATTTTAATAATTATATGTATGATGAAAATCTTATGATCTATGTATGATGAAAACTTTCATTGAGTTATGTTTTCTAAAGTTTCATTTGAAGTAAAACTTCTGACGTGAATCATTAGGAAGCAATGGGCAACTACTGCCGTTACGGAGACGACTTTTACAGTTAAATGTGAAGGATTTCTTTTTTATTTAAATAATACTTATAAAAAACTACTGAGTTTTTTCTTTCTAATACTTTTAAATTGTTTTAGTAATTTACTTTTATCAATATTTTAAGACGATACCTAATCGTAAAATGAAAAACAGCACAAATTTAGTATGGAAATACATTCTTATAATTGTAAAACATAATAATAACCTGAAATCAGAATTTAAGCCATACTTTGCTTACTGCAAACATTTACCTTTCAGCTTTCGCAAACTGATATTTTGGTGTAAAATTTCATTTATCTAAAATTCTTAAACCAATATTTAGTGGCCTTTTAAACTTGTTTATTACTAGCATAAGATCCCGATGCCATCTTTTCTATTTACTTTCCTACTTCATCCCTCATATATCAATCTGCTCTTACATGTTATATTATATTTCAACTTATAATGTTATAAATTCATCTTATTATTACTTTTTAACTACTCAAATGTCAGTTTAAAATTTTACAAGATTAAAAATGATTATAAAATGTTTAATCAGGAAAATCAATTACTTTGTTGTCATAAACAAGCACGCTGGTTGAAATTAAGAAAGCAATTAATGGCAAACATAAAACAGAGATAGTGTAAAAGTTTTATTTATTATCCAACTAAAACCGTGTTTGATAGTGAAAATGTAAATAGCACAAAAAAAGTATAAACAGGTTTTAAAACGGTAAAAGATTTACATTAGTTATAAAAGAAAATAATAGATAAAAAGTTTGGTAGATAGATAATAAGTTTGGTAAATGTTTGCATTTTAGAATGATTCAGCCATGGAAAATTAAATAGCGACAACATACTTCCGGTTGAATTAAAATAAAATCATGTCGAAATGAAATATTAAAATGGTGTGTACCTGATAATCATATATGAAGTCCACTAAAACAAAACGTAGTAAAAAAGTCAAAATTTCCCAACTTTCCCAATAAAATCTATTCAAATATCAAACTAGTCACACTGAAAGACGTAAATGTAGATTGCTTTTCACACGAACTGTGCCCTTCTTCCACAAATTTACCTCATCTGAACAATTCCGGCGCTGACCAGCTTCTGGATCTTGTTCATCACCATAGGATTCTTCGTATGTTCCTGTGCAGCCTTGGGATTTTCCTGGAAATCAACAAACACCTGCATAGACAGTACGTACCCAACTCTGATAAGCACATCTCATTCTTATTTCACCACCGAAATACGCATCTAATATTTAAGAAAAAAAAGGAAGCAAACCTGTCTCATAACAGGGTCTTGGAGAATGATCTGAATTTCTGGATCCTGCATTGCCTTTGCCTGCAAGAATACGAAATATTAAAATTATCATCATTTTTAAATACGTTGATTTATTAGCTAATAAAGTAAAGAATTAAGCCATACCTGTCTCTCCTTCAATTCCTCGGGACTTAAGTCTCCACGGCTAGCCTTATTAATTTGTTGTATACAACTGAAATGGATATTAGATTATTAGGCGAACATTATGCATTCAACGTAAGAACAGAAATATTATAACACAATCCAGAAATGTAAACCAATATCATACGTTCTAATTCCTTCAAGCAACTCCTGGTTGTTAGCGTCATATTTCAATCCCTCCCTATATGTTTCCAAAGCTTTGTCATACTCCTTCATGAAATATTGCACCGCACCCTTCCTGGTATAACCCTTTACGAAGGTTGGATCAAGTTCAATACACTTCTCTGCATCCTTTAAACCTTCAGGCAATGCCGCCAACTTAGTATAGCATGCTGCTCTGTTACTATAGGCCTGGAAGCATTGAAGAAGTTAGACAGAGAAAGACCAACATTTTCCATTAAATACAAGTATTATCAAATTATATTCAAATATATTTATTACCCTAGGATCTTTTGGATTTCTTCGTATAGACTCTGAGTAATGCTTCACAGCCTCGGGATACTTCTGCTGCTTAAAGAATTCATTTCCTACATAGCAGTTTAGGTAATACATAGTATATAATAAGAAGTTGACGGAATCAAAAGGTTACATAGTTATAGGAGTTCTTTCAAAAGAAGATATGATGCTTGGTGAAATCGAATGAAGTGACCATGGAGTCAACTAAAAGACGTTATACCTTTTTCTCTCTCCTCATCAGCCAACTTTGGATCAAAATATTCTAGTTGTTCCAGATCTTTTTTTGCCTTTTCAGCTTCATTAAGTTTCTTCAAAGTGTCAGGGTTGCGATGCTCAGTTAGTGCTTTCTGGAATGTTTCAATGGCAGGGTCGTAATCCTTTGAGCACTTCGCCATTTTCACCAAGGCAGTTCCTTTCCTTGTCAAAGCTCTGGCTATCATTTTAAAATCTGATCTTAGCTCTCTTCCTCTTTCAACAGCCTTGTCACAATCTTTTATACAGTCCTCATACTGAAACCAGGAATTGTTGTAAGAATATAAATTTCGGAGGAGTATCACTTTTCCTAACTAAAATATAGCCTATCCTTAACTCTTTCTAAATTATTTCACACAAGTCCATAGTCTAATGTGTACTTCCAATAAAAGCAAACACC